AAAATGTTATTTGACATAGTCCATAGCACATATTTTTTTATTTACTGGAACATAAACGGAAGAAATTTTTAAACATCCGTTCAATGTTAATTCTCCAGCCGTGCCTCTCCCTTCTAAAACTCCCGACCTCTACTTTATTAAAGTGACAACGAATTAAAAGTCAACCTTAATCAGGCTAAACAATGACAAAACCAGGTGCCAGTAAGCCAATGGTAGGAGATGTATGAGATATGCGCCCCGGGACGCCTAACAACGCGGCGCCCCCACAGGGCGCCTGACAAATCAGGGGCCCCAGGGGCGCGCCTTGGCTAATGTGATCAATGGGTGTTGCACAGCCACACAGGGCTTCCGACATTGGCGTGGTGTAATGGTGATATAACGTTTGCTATGAACAAACTAGGATAGAAAATGTTACTTATGATTGGGGTGAGTAGTAGACCATTGAGGCAAAATATCGAAGTCTTTGTCACTGAAAATAACGCCACCGTAAAAAAACTACGTGAAATATAGTCTTATAATGTCACATAGTGATTTGGAGAAAAGTCCTTGAAGGTATCGTCACATTATGTGAAAGTCACACAAAATTACATCCTATCCACGGGATACAGTTAGGGGGGTTTCTTCTCACAAAAAGCTTCATTGGGGGTAAATGTCTATTTTTTCCACTTCAGCCATGGGTAAACGATTTGTCAATAGTATTATGTTATAGGTTAAGGCACAATATGGACTATATACAATACAATATAGTGCAATATTTCCGTGCAACATATTGCAGCTATGTCAGGGTAAAGTTGTTTGGTTGGGTTTTGACGTGACGTTTGTTCCCGACAAAAACTCAGCGTTTCACTGATGATTCATTGTTTGATTTTTGTGTAATATATTTGCATAACCAATTTTTAGCATTTGGATTTGTTGGGAAAAAATCATAGATACACGAGTTTATCGTTTTTTCAACATTACTTCTGTGTTTTGTCGGAAAATCACGTTGTTGTACGAAATGTCGGTAGTTAAATGAACCTGATACAATAACAAAGCTAATCCCTCTGCCAATAATTATTTAAAAGTTTCAACCATGTTGTTTAGGGTTAAAGACAAAAAAAATGGAAGCACGGAGACTTTAACGGTCGAGGTAGCTGATGGAGTAATCATTTCGTGATGACAATGTTCTTAAGACGCTAATCCATCTACGTGTACACAAACTTTATAACTTATTTTTATGTTCTAAGTAAAATAATTAACCAATGTTAAATCATGATTTTCAACAATTGACGTTTCAATTTTTCATCCCTTCAAATTATTTGCCACGTAAAATTCTCTTTTGGAATATGCAGGTGTTATGTATGCCAAGGTGATTTGATAAAGTTTAATTGTGATGCACGAAGCATGTTGCTGGTATATCTTATAGAATTAACGGCTCAATACAGAGGATGTCCCGCCGTGGTACGAATCGCTATGGCTGCTAAATCAGTTGAAAGTCCTTCGATAGTTCACTCGTATTTCCTGGCGGCTACTGCAGGGTTTAGAGGCGAAAAGAACTCATACGATAAATACAATTTTTGTTGCAATGTTCTGTTTTTATTTCATTAACTGGAGATTTGTGAATGTAAACAGTTATAAATACCGTAAAGAAACAAATGCCTTTACTTATTCACTGCTAAGAATTCTCAGTACACATATGCAGAAGGGTGTAGCTTTAATTTTAAGTATTCGGTTGTTAAAATGTAACATTTTCGGTTTGACGATAATTTGTGTGCCACTAATTTGTGTCGTGGAGTTTGATAACCAAAATATGTTTACTTTAGGTAGTTCTTTTTACTTTCTCGCCCTATTCATAGACGGAGAAAGTATTGTTTTCGTCAAAATTTTCGAGTTTCAGTTTTGAGTGGATTATCAGTTTTGGGCCCCCCTGAACCCAAACCAGTGGTTTTCGAAGTGATGTTTGTCCACGAGTGTGTGTGTGTAGTGGATGTGTACAGAGCTACAGTCCACACCTGTAATCCATTTTTTTAAGTGATTTCCCTATAAAACCCATAAAATAACGGAATTTTCTCAAAAATAGCCCAAACGATGTTGATCAAAATGTAGCATGCCTTTAAATACTGAACAAAATGGTAGAACTCCCATCCATGTTAAAAAATACGGTTCTAAAGTTGTTGTAACTATTGTTATTTTCCCATTAAAAAAATACCCCCGCCGCAGCAAACCTGCAGACTAAGCGAATTTCCATTTGCCTGATTGGATTTAGACTAAAATGTCTCCTTAAAAATATCACATTTATTCCCTATTTAAATAGAATCAGTTTAACACATACTTAGGTTTGCTGCAACAGGGAGGGTAAAAGTGTTTTTTTTTTTATGTAAAATGTTAATAGTTAGTAAGAAATAAAAACATTTTCCAAGTTTGGGCAAAATATGTTAATAAACAAGCACACTACAACGGTTTACTTATTCTCCATAAGAATAACATGGGAATTTTAAATTAACAATTTTTTGGAATTTTCTCCGTAACCATTAGGCGCATTATAACGCTTCAATATACTAAATTATTTGTTTTTTTTAAGCTCTACAAAATAGTTTGGAAAGAAATTTCAAAATTTTATGTTTTTTGGGTCAAAAATAGGAAAAACCCATTTTTACCCCATAAGAGCCCCCATAAACCCCTGTTCCCATGGTCCGATCATGCTGGTTCGCGAACTCGTTCGAATAAACGTAGGTTTACACGTTCGTACCAAATTTCATCAAAATCGGATCATTTTTGCTCGAGTTATCGCGCTAACGGACACATATATATATATATATATATATCTAATATATATATATATATATGAATTTGAACGGATAGTGTTTTTGGCCTCTAGGGACCTCAAAACGAAAAAAAAAATCGGTCCCGGGTCCAGGTCTTACCATGAGTACTACGGTAATAGCTTATTCCCTATATGGGAAATTCGCTAATTATTCCCTATATGGGAAATTCGCTAAAAACTCATAAAATAAAATGAAACCGTATTTAAAAAAGCCGGTTTCGATTTAAATTAGTATGCGATGGTCCTTATAATTCTTAACAACATAGTGCACCCCCCTATCGCTGTAAGAATTAACGTTCAAAAGTTATTGTAACTTATGCTACTTTCCCATTACACCTCATGAAACAACGGAAAATGGATATTTGAAAAAAACCGGTTCCGATTGAAATTCGTCTGTTATGGTCTTTATGATTCGAAACAAAATAGTCCTTCCCCCTTCCCGTAAAACATACGATTCAAAATATAATACCACTTTTGTGATTTTACCTATTAAATATCATAGTTACTCTCATCGCTTACCCATGATAAAGGTTGTTGACAAGCTAATGGGAGAAAGTATGTGTCAGATTGCTGATACAGTTTATTTACATATTTTTTCTTAACCCAGAAATAATCCATAACATTAACTGGATGAACATGTTTATGAAGTTCCACGAATATCACTTCTTACAAAAATGTACCAATATTGTGAACTTTATGTTCGTACAAATAAGATTTTACCAAGAATTACTGCAATGTTAAAGTTTAACTTCTTCCCGAGCTGCTAAAAATAAAGCCCAGTTCATTACTGTCACCACCTTGTACCTTACAATACATATCATCAATCAAGTGGGGAAATCCTCCTGTTGCCAAGAAGGACCGACTCAAAAACTGCCGTAAAATATATTTATCACAATATAAATCTGCGCTGTCGCCCTTGTCATCTAGGTCATGATGTTGGGAAGGATTTCTTGGAGAAGTAAAAAGTGGTGTGGAAATGGCTCTCTATAAAATATGATGGAAGTAAAAGATAGTTCGGAAATGTTTCGGAAATTGTCTAGGTTTGGAACTGCCTGGTAATTAGAAGTATGGCCTACTTCGAAAAAAACCTATATCTAATTAGTTTTCCTTTTAGCAGCTGAAACGTTAACAATTTTATTTTTGTAATCTTATTTCGTAGAATAACTTAAACGTCGATAGCAAAGAAGGTTAACTAGTAAGCTAATCCAGTTACAGACTCTATATATTATCAGCAAATTGCAACTTAAGATAGTGTTACCATCTTTATATACCGCAGTCAATCTATGGCTAGACCACAAACGCTAAAGGCGTAACTTAAAATCTTCTTCTGAATATTAAAAGGAAAATTTATTTAATTTTTTGGGAGAATTCAATAGTAAATTTATAAATATAAACGACATCTAGGGACAACAATTATTAATCTTGTTCAACACAAGCCTGATTGTAAACACTCCGAACAAATATTTGCGGTTAACAATCGAAAGTAGATCAGCTGTTTGATCAGCTGTTATGAAAGCAATGATGTAAGTAATGGACAGTGAACATAAGTTTAACAGTTGACTGGTTCTAAACCGCAGTAAGCGTAGAAGCTGTCAAATACCTTCCTGTTAGATCACTCGTCCAGAGCCAGTCTATTACATTGCGCAATGTTATAATTGTTGTAAACGTTGACAGCAGCAATCAAATCCAATGTTCATCTATTAGAAATATGTTTTTATTGGTATGATAAAAATGTTAAATCAGTGTAGCAAATTACTTCAATATTCGCATTTTTTTAACAATTCAATTAGGTTTTCTATCCATTTTGATCTTTCCCTTCTCTAAAGTCTTGGAACGGGGAAAAACAGTGTAGATTGTGTGGAGCAATCATCAAATCGGGTATTCGCATGACAAAACTATAACCATTGTACATCTTACACAAAATCTGTCACGTTTATTTGATATTATTCGAATTATTTTCTTATTATTCAGATGAGAGATTAACGATATCTTTTGTTACTAAATACATTTTCAAAAGGTTTATATAAAGATTGGGACAGATTACAAAACACTAGGTCAACGCTATTTGTAAAAATATTTGTTTTGCACACCCAAGTGTCCATCGAATTCCATTTTATTTTATATATTCCAGCCTCTTCCAATATCTTTCTAAAATCAAATAAGATTAAACCTCTATTGGTGGAAAAAAATCACTCACCTATAGACGAAAGGGCCGATTTCTTCCAGTCTGGGCTTTTCACCTTGGTTAAGGAACCCTTCTGGATTGGTGACGTTGAAGATGAATACTTTGGTTAACCTGAGCACTCCGGGCTTCTGCCAGTAATGGTAGCTGAGGGTGCCGTTCCATAGCCTCAGGTTCTGAAAATACAGTTACATCTTCAGTACAAGTGCCTCCCAATACAAGTGTAAGATTATAAGTAAGCTATCCAAAATCGAAAATAGCAATCTCACTCAATTTTTCACTCATCTGGGTTCTAGCCTACTTGGGTCTATTTGTTAGCCCTTAGACTATGTCCCGAGGAACGTAGGCCTATAGAATTTAAGTCACACATCTTCCACTCATATTGAGGTTAATTTTCAAGTGTGCCTATCAAAAAAGGAAAAACCAAGGTTTCCTTTATTAGGATTTATCAGGATAGAATAATACTTAATCGTCCATAATAATAATCCATAATAATGTATGAACATTAAGTATGGAGTTTGTATACATATTTCAATGTAAAGATAATGGTGTAGTTCTGATCCTCAAGGTGGTGCCAACTCAGTGCACCATGTTATTAATATGACAAGATGCTGTTTTTTTTTGTTTTTGTAATGTTCATGGTTAAGAGGGCAAGATTGATAGGTCTAAGAGGAGTGGTGGACATGTAACCGGGGGGCCGTTTGAGGTACACGATCCCGCTCTCTGCCGTGGTTGGTTCGGGAAAGTCCGGTGGTCCGAGGTGCCTATTACAACCAGGCTGGTCAGAACCTTCCACATTTGGAAGCGTTCTGGGCCCATAACCCAGAGGTCCGTGGATCGTAACCACGCTCTGCTACCATATGTAACCGGGGGGCCGTTTGAGGTAGGGGGGAACTACTGGGTTATTGGTATGGGGATGGAGGAGGGAATTTCGGTAATCAGGAGGGAATAAATGGGGTAATGTAATAGGTTAGGAGAGGGTGTGTCTGGACCAAACTTAACATAAGCGTGCTGAATCTGCTACCAATAAAATTAGGAAGATTGCTGGGGACCAGAGGGACGGAGACCTTTTACCCAGATCAGAACACTTGCCTAGCCAGCTTTGATTGAACCAATTGAACTAACTATTTAAATATTAACCTATCCTTCAAACATGAACTGAACTTGGGAAATTACTTACTAACATTGATGAGTGAGGGAAAATAATATGTAGATTGAATATTGAGTGGCTAATTAGTATGAAATTGACGGATAATTGCTAAGCTACATTCTGGGAACATGTGGTTTAACTAACAGGTTTGAGAAGGTCCGCTACCTTAAGGGTAGCGAACCCGGCTAACATTTTGTTTCCTACATTTCACCAGTCGGGCGAGCCAGAAGGGCTCCCCGCTAGCTACCTGACTTAGCCAGACATTTTCCCTACTTAATTTCTACATATTAAATGTTACAACTTATCCCAAACATCGAAGACAAGTCCTGGAACTTTTCCGAGAGGTTCTATGTCCAGATGCCGGTTTTCGAAGAAAGAGGACAAGACTAGGAAAAGTGGGGATAGAGCATTGATGCAGTCGCGGCAGGCAACGAGATGAACATGCAGCCGCTTCGCGAACCGCACACACTATAAAAAATTATAGCGTGCCGCTATGCGTCACAGACACAAAAATGATTTATATGGCCAGGAATGTCGTACATCACAGTAGTGACATATTTTGTAAAATATGAATTAAAGAGGAGCAACAGGTTAAGAGGTTGAGAGTTCATAGAGTACAAGGGAGTATTGAGCTCCAAAACTCACAACTCTGAGACTATATTTTGAGGGAATGAAAGAGTAGAGTATTATTTAGTGAAAAGAGATTATTAACGAACTAACTATTCGAAGAATGAATGTTTATTAACAATCATGGTGATGAAAGTCAGGTTAAACCGAGTACTAAATATATTTGGTAAAAACTGTGAGCAGCTAGAATTGCATTAGAGTTTGAATACTGTGTACAATGGAAAACAAAAAAGTTACTGAATCAATTGTTCTTTTACAAATAAACTGTTAATTTCAAGTAGTAAATCTTGTTCACTTAGGACAGATGACGCAACTAACATGACAACTAATTATAACTTGAAGTTTCCAGTAGTGTAAATAGCACGAATATATCCTATAAGACCTATACTAACTGTAAGATGAGCGTGGAATGGAATATAGAATCTGTGTCAGGCTACTATGTCCTTATAAATCTTAGTTGCTTTCTAATTCTATATTAAACAATATTGTGCAGTAATAATGAAATAGTTACCTTTAATATTAAGTAGTCCAGCCAAGGGACGGAAGAAAGAATGATGCCTACAGCGAGTGTGAACAGTCCTATACATATGACTGCTAGTCTACCTGTAAACATATATTACAATGAGTCCTGTATAACACACCAAATATATAGCAACTGAACATTGGCCATGATAAACAGTCGTATTGAAGTTCAAGGGTAGGGGGATCCACTAAAGTAACTTTCCATTGTGGCAAAACACTTTCATTGGAAAATTAAATACACTGATGATATATTTCAATGGATATTTAAAGTATATCTAATATAGATTTACTATTTGCACTCTTTGTTATTTGCGAATAGATAAAAAGGAGTTTTAGATGGGTTTTAAAAATTTAAGTCATACTCCTAGACATTACACACTAAATTTGTCTAGGTACGCAGTAGAACTGGCTAAAGAATTTTAATTCAGGCCATAGAACTTGCCTTTAGATTGTTTACTTTTCAAATTTTCAATTTGTGTATGTAGATTCCGACTGTAATTTATCTTTGGATTAAAAATTAACATCCATTGTTTTGTTTACCTATTTTGTTCCCTTTCTGACATAAACATTTGTTGCTAGTTTTTAAATATAAGGTGACTAAAAGGTACTAGTAGTTTTTTTTATATTTTAAATATGCTAAGAATATGACGTAAAGAAGTGTTGGGTTCCGGTAACTTTGGTGCGCTATCAGGGTTAGTTGAAAACTAAATCGCTTAAGCTGAATGAATGTCCAAGCTAAAAATAATTTTTAGAAAACATTGATAAAACTACAGTCATCATTTATAAGCTTTTATGTATTATATGATTAGTGCTTCAGAAACAAACCTTCGCAGATTTTTGGAAAATTCAACTTAATAGCAAAGTGTTGAAAAGACTACGATGGCATACATTTTGAAATAAAGGTTAACATTTGAGTTTTATCTGGCATAAAGATGAAGCATATGAATGGTCATAAAATATTTTGGGTTTTAAAATCTAAGTTTTAGGACGTACATGTGTAGTTTTGGCAGTAACTAATTTCAAATTAAAATATCCAGACAAGAAGTCCCTTTGGAGCAGCAGTTGACACAGATTATATTTTGGAGTCGAGGTCATGGCTTATCAATTACTGATAATTACCGGTCCACTTCTAACAGATTTCGAAACTTCAGGAAATTTATGCATCAGACTATCCTCATTGATTTTATCACGCGGAAAATAAATTTGAACTGATTTGCTGGGTGTAAGTTATAACATAATTTTCCTTTAAGCAATCGTTAGGACGATAAACTAAACTGATTTGCATTTGGATTAGAGCTGGTCGATTTTCAATCCATTTTATTCAGTTTTAGAAAGATTTGTGTTACTAAAAACGCAATACAACTAATTTACTTACTCAATTTTACTATTAATTAGTATGCAATTAATTTTAAATGTACCGTTTATATTGATTTAAGATAAATACAATAAATTCAAATGAGGTTTTCTGTGAAGTTTACGTGTTAATTAAGAAAATTATTCATTCAAATAGATAACACGTTGTTTACTCGTGTTAATGCAATTTTTATAAACGTTAATTACTAAAAAGTACCTAGTTGAAAATGTTCAAGTATGATAAAGAATAACGTGTGGTCACACTTTAGAAGCAAACAGAAATATCTAGGTTTTGCTCAATAATTTTACAACACGCATCTTACAGCCATAAAATTGGCTTATCGTTTTATCTATTTATTTTCACGCATAAGAAAGAAACATGAAAATTCGTAGCTACAAAAAAGGTTTTCCTACGTAAACTATGTTTAAGTGTCTGTAGACATAAGTAAAGTTAAGACTAAATTAGCTGACATGGAGATTGTCCTTATATTTCGTCTTGTAAGTTGTCACTACCATAAACTGTTTACTGTTACAACTTGACTTTCAATCAATTAAAAACCAGTCTCAGCAACTAGTTCTAACTCTAGTTTCACTCTTTGGGAATATTATAGTAGGCTATTCCTACTATAAGATTCTTACTGTAAGACATAACTTATAGTAGTAAGTTTTATTGTTTACAGCATGTGATTATTATTGATCACTAATTTGTGTTGTGAAGCTCTGTTCCGGAATAACTGCTTAGCAAACACACGTGTTAGAAATCATTATTTTGTAAACATTGTAAAATAACCGGGAAAATGCGCGAGAAAAAGCGGGAATTTGCGCGGGAGATTCTACACGTTGGATTGTAATGCAGTTGTGATCACTTTAGCCTTGACTTTTTTACACTTAAGGAAGGGATTTGTAGACCAATACGTGTATTAAGAGAAAGCTTTGTATAAATTGTATGTCAATACAGTACTTGTTTTTCCGGTTGTGGAATTAGTATTAGTATCCCAAGGTCTCCTAAATTACCTATGTACGTGTATTTTGTCTATTATAAGTTTTCACTTACACAATCCATGACGATGTTTTACTAATTGCAAATACACGTTTGGTGAAAAACTAAAATACTCAAACCTCAAAATGTAGAATACACTGTATTAGTTCTCGTTTATAAAAGTATAAGTAAAGGGGTATGACTATACGATGTTCAAGTAGTTCTAGTGGCCATAGGTTATGGGTTATATGTTATAGGTCATAAACTGTACGTTTATAGTGCATACTTTTATACTAATAAAACTTGTACATTTTGTTTATTTTACAATTAGGTTGAATAAATACTGAATTTGATACTGAAGAGCAGAGCTAGACATGTTTAACTATTTCCAATAACATTTTTATTCAAACATGTTAAATTATAATAATTCTCATAGGGTTTTGATGAAAACACAGTAATAGTACAATGTTAATGTTTGCAAAATACAATGATGCAAAATATTTATTCGAATTCACGATTCAACGCATATGAAATTTATGTAAAAGACGAGTGATTATTAAAAGACATGCGCTATTTACATATAACCATTGACTCTACACAGAATAGACTTCATAAGTAATGCAAAAATAATGCAAAAAAGAGTGGTGCAATCTGTTGAGATGGTCTAACAACTAATGACAATATTCTGTGTCAAGTGATAAATAAATCAGCTGTTTGCTATTTGCATTGATTATAATTAATATTTAACCAAACTAGGTGTTACCATAAACAAAAAGAATTAAATACAGACTGTCAGCCGTGCTGTGGTTACCATGGTTACCATAGGTTCTGGCGCACACCGCTGGGAGCGCCGTGTAGTAACGTAGCGCGTACGCCGTAACTACATCGCGCTCCCAGTGGTGTGCGCCAGAACCTATGGTAACCGCAGCTCAGCTGACTAGTGAGATGATCATTATCTATATATATATATTATTGACTTCAAACTTTTACATTACATGATAAGTCTATTCAATGATATAACATGTCATACATACTCAAAATTTGTGCTTAGTATTTTGCATTGTTTAGAAATCCGTACAAACACACAGTTTACACACCCGGTGGAGATTGTCTACAATCACGAGATTGTAAACAACGTGTATACATTGGCGGAACGTTTTATTGTGGTTATTTAGTCTCAGTGTGTTTGCTCGCCATGATTACTTCATTGACAGAGTGTCGGACACGGTTGCATCACTCTCAAAAACCCGGCGGGTCACTTTCTAACCTTCCTCTGATGAAAATTTATGGTTTTACTGAAATTGTACGTTCACATGCTGTATGAATGGACTTTTTTTGGTCGAAAGATGGTTTTTCAGACGTACCTTGAGTTAATGCAGTTCTAAAGTAGTATTTTTTAGTTTTTCTAACTATTTTTGAAAATTAAAACGTAGGTATTAAACGACCTACATTTAAAAATAGATGTGGTTATAGTTAGTGGAGGCTATAAAAATCGTCGTGTTGAAGTTAGGCCTAAGTTCGTGACGTGATTTATTTCACTATTTGAAATATTATTTTCTTAATGTGGCAAGTACTAAGGATTTTTTGTAAATGAGGTTGACACATAGAGGTGTAGACTTTTCGGAAAGCTCATCCACCACCCAATTTTGTGTGTGTACTAATTGTGGTAAGAATATAGTATCTAGTAATTTTTATACAAAAATAATGTTACATGATCACATAATAAGTACAAAATTAATAAATCCGAGGTTAAAACATTTTTGTAAAATTCCTTAACCACCAAACACCTGGTTAACTGTGTTAAACAGTCAAATTGTCTTCTAATCCTAAACACGACAGAGCATTTTTTTCAAATCCTTAAAAATGGACGAGAACACAGTATGAAAAGATGACGAATGTTCTTGGAAAAAGCAAGGCTGAAACCAACAAACAATCGGGAAGTAAGCTCCAGTTTTTGCACTACAAACAATGCTGACATACCTAAACGTACGAGAACTGTATGGCGTTCCTCAAGGATCCACGCTGGGGCCGGTATTTTTCCTGGAGTAGTTAATAGCATGATTTATTGTTCAAAGGACTTAATCTTCGCATTCCTTTCCGGTGTTAAAATATTTTTTTAGGAATGTGAATCATAAGAAAAAACCATGCATATATTAATTCTGACTACACATAACACTAGTTTAACCACCTTTTTGTGAATATATTTTTGCATATTAATTGCTAATTTGCGCCATTTGTTTTTTGTGATAATTGTATGGTTGTACAAAAGTTGACCATCATCCAGCAATGTTGAAACATATAATAACGAGCAATCAATTTTCTTACTTCAAGTTCATTAAAAACCAGTTTTTGACAACGTATTAATCCAAGATGATACGTCAATGTCAAAAACAAAGTCATGTGGTATTGATCATGGTGTAATCAGAGGTAGGAATTTGAACACATTTATCATTTAATATATCTAGCCACACGTTTTTTCTACACCAACGTAGGATACGTACAAACAATTTTCGACGTAAACATTGATGGGGATTTTTTTCACAAAGGCTTATTACTTAAACTACATGTAATCCCCTATGATGAGATTTCTCCGTATCTCATAACCAAGTTCCATAAAAACGAGTCACCAGAATCAGTGTTGCCAATTCACCCTGACGTCAAGGTGTGGGAATTCCGCGCTGTCAGGTTGCCACTCCTGTCGGGCAGTCCCGGGGGTCCCGGGTTCGAGTCCAGCAGTTGTCCTCGACCT